TATATTTTTACAGGAAAACGCGCGCACGAGAGAGTCTCTCTCTCTTCATCCGAATCGCCCTCGCTCGCGAGTTTTTTGCCGATAAAATTGATCGTACATAGAGGACGGAGAATTATCCCGGGTACGTTTCCGCGATAACGGGACCACGCCCGCTGTTACGAGGGAGGAAATGAAAAAGGGGGCTGGCGGGGATGAGATCGGACTTCGCGGGGGCGAAACCGGGGGATAAACACAACGGGGTGGCCGATGCTAAAAGTTGCCTGGCAGTAAAAACGCCAGAATCAGCACGACTTAAAAATAAGTTTGATATAAAACCATCAACGTTTGTTTCTTATTTAATATACAAGTCATTTATATACAATAGACAAAACTAATCCCAATACATAGCTATATAGGCTTAACAAAATAACTTTCTTGAACTTAATATATTAACTCCCTTCACATGTAGATCTAAAAAATCAACCGATAAGTAAACTGAATCTGTGAAACTCACGCGATTTTACAATCGAATATCTGCGCGAAACATCAATATTTTTTCAATTTTATTTTGAATCAAAGATTTGAACGATCTTGCGTCGATAAAAAAAATTTGAAAAAATCTCTAGTTTCGAAGATATATAAGCGTTTATAAAAAAACTAATTTTTTCTAGAAACGCCGATGTACAATTTTTAAGTGAGTCTGAGAGACCCATGCCTACGAACAAAAGATTAATAATAATTATGCTTAAGTGACGAAGAACGTTAATTCTTTGAGATTTTGTTCGCAAGTAATGGGTAATTTCCGATAATAAAGATATATATACATATATATATATAATAAATAATGTGTATATAGTATATATTATATGTAAGAAATTTGTACGCGCGCAACGAGAGAATTATAAAAGCGCAGAGGTTTATTCCGAAAATTTCCTTTAAAGTGCATCAACGTACATTAAACGTGCATATTACATGAAGCACTCTCGTTGATACCCTGTCGTCTGGGAAGAACAATAAACAAGACTCGTTCGCGCGGAGAACGACGTCGTAAAAGGTGACCCAAAACATTAAAGCTTCGGTGATGACACCTCTCGATGATATCTTCACGAAGAACTAGAAGCGTTTGGTTGAAAAATTAAAAGAAAATGGATATGTATATACTAAACGCCCGGAAGACGTTTCAACCGGGTCCGAGATAAGACCGTCGGCTGATGTTACGGCAGAAGTTCATAAATTATTCGCCGAAAGGACTGAAATAACGACAGAGAAAGTTAGTAAGGATTATCCACGCTTCTAAAGTCGTATTATTACTCAGCATCGCGCTATTGCCGCTGTCGAGTCTCGCACTATCCTCGCGCAATTGTCGCGTTTTTTTCTATTACCTCACCAGGCAGACTCTTTTCCGCTTATTTCTGCGCTTAACGTCACTCGCACATCCGTGAGAAGCCACATGTGTCGTACTCAGAGTGTTTAGTAATTTTTCTCTCTCTTTCTCCGCGTATCAATCAAAAGATTGTCTCTGAGAGATTGTGTATAAAAATATAAAAATTGCAGACAATTTCACACTAGCAAAGTTCATTATTTTATTACTACATTTCTTCTGATTGAAGTAAGTCGTGTGTGTTGGCGAATTAAAAATAATAAATAAAACAATTATTTCAAGAACAATAGAAAGTTGTCTGTATGAGATGTGATGCAATTTGCGATTATAATTGAGTACGCGCATAGGCGCACAAATATCCATACAATGCCCGATATAAAAGTGACTATTATTTATATGCAGACAACTTTTCAACAAAAAGAGCAATGATGCCGTGTAAAAGAATTGGGACAAAAAAATCTCTATATGCAGCTACCACGTTGATCGACATCGTGTGATAAAAAGACAAAATAAAGAGACACTATACTAGTTGCATTACAATAAAATATTGCACTCGAGAGAAACTTATCGTAAATTGACTTCAAAACGAATTAAATAATCAATTTTTTATTCGTACAATGCATGTCGTTATGTAATATAATATAAAAGTACATTTTATGTAACATCAAAATCTTAACTTGCTTGCAAACTCTCTTCGTGAGAAGAAAAAGGTGTATAGCTAAAAAGCTGATGGAACGTTGTTAGGTACGCCAAAAGGAAGTATAGAGAAGAAGAGCGCACGCCATGAACCCGTATCTATGAAGAAAATCCGATTTGCAAAAGCTGTGAACCGTACTTGCGGGGCGTGAGCGATGGACTTCCAATTGAGGGTCGATAAGCTCGCGAATCGCACCTCGCGGATAAGCGATAAATCCTATCGCAAATATCGTCACTCCTATAGCGTGGCGCGAGATTCTTCATTTGTTCTCAAAAGCAAAACGAACATTTTCATATTTACGGTTGTTTGTCACAGCAGCGACAACACAGCCTTTTACTACGAGACAATGCTTACACGGCGAGATATTGGCCGTTACAATACAAGTGTTGGTGGAAGCGATGCAGCTTGAAATAATTAAATCATGTTCTTACCTTCACTCCACTTCTTCACTCCAACGCTGTGAAGCCAATCAACTTGTATTTAAAGCTGATTCTACTCGCGACGCGGCGTGGCGTAAAGAATAATAAAAGTAAAGCGCCGCGTTCTCGTGTCGATGTACGTACACATTGTGAAATCGCACGCGCCCACGTATATTCCAAATGAAAAAATTGATATATGTGTGTAGAAAAAAATTTTTGTAACAAACTTTACACACGTATACAGATTCATTACATGTCACCGTTCTCAGTCAACAATAGTAATTTAGCATTAGAGATAAGATTGGAGGAAACGGATTGTAACTAAAATGTTTTCGTCCAATAGAGCGCGCGCATCAGTAAATAGAGTATTAGCAAACATGTAGCCGAGGCATTGATATACGCGGATAACAGGAGAATATTCAGCGATAATATTTCACAAGTGGTCGGACTGTGTACATACGAGTGTGCGTCTGTAATTATTCGCTGCGCGCTATCGTTATTTAACTAGATGTATCACCACCAGCCGTAAAACGATCGCGCGGTCGTAATTCACTCGATATTTTACGTGTGCGTGACAAATGGAGATTTTTTTTTTTTTTTTCTATAGGATACGCGCGACATTTGGGATAATCGCCTCCGCTCGCCGATACGATTCTGGCTTTAATGCGCGGCGATTAATGACACGCGACTCGGAAGCGCGAAACGGCCTCGCCGTCAGTTTTAACGACCGATATATACCGATGGTTACTGGTCGTGCGCGCGGAATCGATAATCGAATAAAATTAATTTTAAAACAAACATCGTTACGAACTAAATTCGGAATCGCGCATTAACCAGTCGTTCGTTATTATTTGAAAAATGGCCATTTCGCATGTTACGCTTATCGAAAAAGAACTATCAAGGTTTGCTGCGATATATCCGTATAATGTTAATTATACAAATCAATTGGCTCGACTTGATTAATATACTGGGTTGGTCAGAGTCTTTTCGTATTAAAATTCGTATTAAAATACAAAAAGACTTTCTGACCAACTCAATAACTGTCAAATCGTGATACATCGTGAAATTTTGCGGCGACACAAGAAAAGATATACAGTGGATTCAAAAAGTGGATTGGCACGTCTACATTTTTTTAAATATCTTTATATAAGGAAGTGATATATTAATACAAAATGTCCATTAATGTCTTACGATATACGGAAACAGTGTATTTTTCAAGAATTCTCAATACTGTAATTGAAGCAAGTTAAAAAAAAAAAAAAACCAAAATTGTACATTCCAAAAAGTATTAGCACACCTACGTTTTACATATGAAATACATCTCTTGAAGTTTTTAACACAAAACAAGTTATTCTTGCATTCTGTAGTAAATTATCTCATATCGATATGCATTCGAGCATTCATAAATTTCTTTGATAAATGCTAAATTACCAACTCCATTATAAGACATACAATCCCAAACCATTATATGCATTATTAAATGTGAGCGTGCCAATATTTTTTGAAGCCACTGTAATTATCTTGTGCATCAGCTGACTTTCGGTTTTTCCCAATAAATTATTTTTTCATATCATGAATAAGATCAAAATAAATCGAATAAACTTCGACGTTAAACAATTACAGGAATGCTTAATTTTAATGAGGCACGAAGATGTTAAAAGCTTTTTTTTTTTTTTTTTTTTTTTGGTAAATAGATCGAAACACATTTTTTGTGTCATATCATTGCGAGAGTGTCTCCAGCTGTTAATGTCGCTTAATAACTTACAAATAAATTGCCGGGCACTTGTCGTGACTCATCCGTAACGGATGGCTTCGCAAAAGTCCTTGAGAAAAGTGTTAGCACCTGCGAGAACGCGCGCAAATGCACGTAGAGCTTGAGACGGCTGTACATACCGTTTAGGAATCGCTTACTCGGACTTTAAAGAACGTTTCACCGACAACGATGAGTCAGTAGAAACCCGATCTCTTTCGCGAGGTTGCATTTTCTACCGTGATCGCATAAAGATAACCGAGCGTGGCAAAGAAGAGAAACTCACCGTCACTTTATGTTAACGTATTAATCACAACGAGCCATAAATAGATGTGTTCACTTACAATAAGAATCAGTAATTGCTTATGTAACGATACATGTATAAACTCTGAGATATTCTACGATATTCTGAGCGTGAAATAGTAGATAATAGAAAAGTATAATAATTAATCACACATATCATGCAGCTTGAGAAATACAGTAAAATCCACACAAGTGCCTTCTCTTCGGGATTGTCAGAAGCTACTACGTAGTGGGAAGAGGTATATAACTTTACTTTTCTTCTCAAAAACTGGACACAAAAAGCATCCTTCAGCAGAGAGAACACTTTTGTACCAGAAAATATCGGTCACTTTCGAGGATTTTAATTTACCAAATTAATACGTTTACATCACATAATTCGAACCTCGTTTATTTTAAACTAAAGCTTGAGATTTGTATCAAAATATAAACACACAAATTGCACAACTTTTTAAGATGAAAAGAAACACTCACCTTTTTCGAAGTGTAGAGTTTTCGACCTTGAAGCAGCATAAACACTTTCTTCCAACCATTCGAGTTTGCGTGTCTTATCCACAATATGCTGAATACTTGCGGACATTCACCGTCTTCTCGCATCAGATAATTCTGTAACATGAAGATGTACTTGTCGGTTCAATCAAAGGTTCTTATCCGTAAAGATTGCATCGTCATTAGATCGTGTATACTCACCCTCAGTGCGCTCTCAGTGTCGGTGAGTGTGCTCCTATTTTCCCCGCCGGGAAACGCTACCATATCGAGAGGGAAGAATTGCTGAAACAAAAAAAAACTATTTCTAAACTTGCGCATCAAAACATTTCGAAAAAGTATTTTTATTAACCCTTTTCCATACAATTTATGTTTGGCAAAACGCAGGCCATAGTAAAGAATGAAGTTTTTCGCGAAACAAGGCAAAATGATATTCTTTTTTTTCATGTTTGGCCCGTAATCGATATTAAGAATTTGACTCGTGATTTTTATATTTAACCCGTAATCGGCACCACGAGTTTAACTCGTTATTATACAAGAAAGAGTTAAAGAAACAATGCGCAAATAATCTACGATAGTTCAAAACAGAGAAAAAAACACGTATTTTATATTTTGTAAATATCTTACTTAAAAATATAGATATAGATACAATACAAATACAATTTAAAATATTTTACAAATACAGATACAAATATTTAAAATATTTCTTAAACACTTTAACAAAGCTTTACTGTACATATTATAAGAATAATAAAACATCTCGAAATTTCTTGTCCCTGAAGAGCGTTATTACTATTACGACATTCAATTACCAAAGTTTCTGCGCTCGTTATCCTTTAATTGGCCAATCATCGGTGAACAGAGGTTATTGAGTTACAAGATTTATGAACCCGTAGTTGAGTTTCAAACTAATTGATATTAGTTCGAATAAATTAATTATGTTCAATAAATCATTTTCAATGATTACATTCTCATTTTCTTTGACCAGATTCAATAAAATTAATTGCAAGAATTTTATTTATATTTTCTACGTAATCTCAAAGTCAAGAAATTTAAAACCGAGCTACGTCAACCCCATTATGGTCAACCCTAGAAAAATCCTAAGACGTACGAATGTCTTTCCAATCAATATTTACTACGGAATCCTCGTGCATCGTTGTTGATGCTGTGGTTTGGAGAATGTTTTTTACGCCATCTTTAAATTCTTTCTCAAGCATACGAGTCATTCGATCTGATGGTAACTGAGAGAAAAATTAGCTCGTCGGATATTCGTATATCGACGAGTCGTTACGTGACCAACCTTGAGTAATAATCGAGCGAGATTTCTCACATTACCGATCAATTTTAGATTCTATGAAATGTTTATTAATAAATATATTTATTAATATAGATGTATTTGACTAAAAAATATATATATATATAAGTGTACACACTAGTTTAATTTTATAAAAATCTAATCATTAAAAACGAAGTTATATTCTTACGATATAAAGCGCCAGACAGCACGGAAAGACCAAAAGACATCTTAAAAATGTCTAAAAGATAAACGTTTTTTTATGAAAATTCTAAAGTGGCTCTGTTTTATCGATAAAACTTAATTTTTTGTGCACACTAATCTTTTTTGGCTGTTGATAGATTGATCAATCTTTTTCTCCAATTAAAGTACATATAATAAAGGATCCGGGAAGTCCAAATTATATAACAAAAAAGTTGAAATCTTTATAACATTTTTTTTATTTTGTTTTATAAATTTGGACTTCTCTCTAAAGATCCCTTATTGTATGTATACTTTAATTGTAGAATAAGATTTATCACTCCATACAGCTAAAAAAAATTAGTGTACACAAACCCACTTACTTTACAAAAGTTCTGTTGAAAACTTTAGTTTTATCAATAAAACACAGACCCACTTTATAATCCTCTAGTCTTTTAAGCCCATTCTACATTAAGCGCAAGATGCAATCACAAGTAGCAGGTCTCATGGAATTGATCAATTACGTTAGTCAATTGGCTGATTTGATCAATGCAATTAGTCAATTCCATTCAAGATCTATTTGCGTTTGCGTCTTGCGCTTAATATAGAACAGACTTTAAAGACACGTGCTGCTGCGTGTTTTTCGACAAACATCCATAACTCTTTACCAACTTTGTCGGTAATGCAGATTGCAACTATATCTTCAAAATATTCAAACATTATCGATAAATTACCAAACATAACAGTCGGTAAGTTACCATGCACACGTTGAAAACTCGGAAAATGTGTAGCTTACCATTTCCGACTTTGGTAAAACGTTTTGAATTGCAATAGATTGTTCTCTAATTCTTTTACGTTTTCATCTTTAATAAAAATAGCTGTTTTAGTAATATAATAAATAAAATCGCTGATTGTTTTTTTGCTCACCTTAGGATTAAGAAACACTTCATACTTCAGGAAGTCTTCGCTAAAGTAAAATCTCCTCTCGTAGCGCGAGGCAAACATTTCCAATTCCCTATGAACGGCGAGAATGTCTTCATGATCTTCTAATGTGCGTTCTACAACAAAAATTTATCTTGATCGTCACAAATATTACAACACAGCAGCGCAGCTATTAATCTTTCAAAAGTAAAAAAAAACTTAATCTATGTATATATATTTCAGGAAAATATAAAAAAAATACATATATTCCTTATATATTTTATATCTATAAATATAATTCTATATAAATTTTTCTCTAAAATAAATGTGTTTTGTTATACGATCAAAATCTAGAAAATTCACATGTAATGAAAAGCACTAAAATAAGACTAAAATAGCGCGATATTTCACTAAAAGCTCTAAACAAACAATTCATGCGAAAGCATGTGGCCATGAGCTACGTCTCTGACCTGTACCAAACTCCTGGAGGTTCGTCCGCTATTGATTCTCGGCTGCATTATAGAGCCGAGCGAAGTCTTCACGGCCCCTTTTCCCTCCCTCAACGCACACGTTATTTCCGATCTTGTCTCAAGTCATGTCGTAGAGAAAATTAAATAACAGTTTTTTTTCCATGTAATAATAATATATATTGTTTTTTAGTTTTTTTAATGTAAGAGCGTCTTTGTGTTACTTCGTTTATATACATATATGTAACTTCTCAAAGCAATATATATATTTGGTGTATTTTTGTATCAAAATAATATAAATTGTTTTCTCGCGGAAAAAGCCAAACGTAATAAATAGTCATTTCAAATTATTATACAAGTCATTGAAACATATAAACACATGCTTACATGTTCCTCGTAAACAAATACTTTTCTCTTCGAAGAAAATAACAAACCTAGCTTAAGCAAGTAATCACATAAAAGATTGCAATCGCACAGGCTTTGAAAGTACGGTCGATAACACGTTACTGCTCGCGTGACTGTGACGGAGAAATGTATATACTTGAGAGCTTTATCAATTGATCCTTAATTAACAATTTCTCATAGATCCGCGAAAGGAACGTGCATGCAAATAAAATAATTGCTACAGCGAATAACAAAACGGCGTTTATCAATTAAATATCGTGTTGTTTTGTATACTAATTATTTTATGATACATACCAATCCCTAATTTTGGCCAAGTCTCTACTATCGACCAAGCGGTGCCGATAGCATTTCTCCTAACTTTGAGCAGCTCGCACAGGTCGATCGTTCGTAGATTCTTTTCCACTACCACGGTGGTAAAAGAATTCTCATTGTTGTAAAAGCGCAGTTCTTCCTGATTAAATAAATGTTTAAAATATATTAGCTACAGAATTACCTCTCTCTACAATTCAATTTCAGTCAATTGAATTTAAAAAATAATCATTATATTAATATTTATAAATATATAAAAAATTAAAAGTTAAATAAATTACATAGATTGTGAGAGAAAACAGACAAAAGAAAGAACAGCTCGATTGCACGACGTCATACAAAAAGCCTTTATACATGTTCAAGTAAGCACCTGTCTTTCGCTGTCTACCAAATCTTCATTTTCCTTTCGATTTCTATGCGTGGTGTTACTGAGCTCGAAGATCGTCAGATCAGATCCAAGTCGCTCGTAGCTTCCGGATCGTCCAACGACTCGATTCCTCGGCAACGTGGAATTGCCGTCGATACAGGAACACATCTTCGGGAGCCAATCTGCAAGAATACAGAGAAATCGGTATAAATGTATTGCAATCAACGAGCAAAAAATAGCATTAAAAAGACACGATGTAATTAAACAATTGCACAAAATGTCACTTCGGTAATACGTCAAGTCTACTGTACTGTAAAATAGGCATAAGAGCGAGCCCGCTGTACTAGAATCTATTTTACAACTTGGGCTTCACGAGATAAAACTACTACATTATCAATGAGTGAACATGTGTGACCTTCTCTTATTTCAAAAGACAAAAAAACACCATAAGTGTTCAAAAAGATCAAATATGTCACAAATTTTGCAGCAAGAAGATTTCGGGCGCGTGTTTGTCGAATGCAGCAACTCTATTGTCAGAATATCGAGGCATAGAGAGAGCGAAAGATAGAGAGAGGGGGAGAGAGAGAGAAAAAAAAGAAAAAAAGTATATAGATATATAACTAAGTAACTAACGTGCGCTGCGACATTGAAAATATTGTGTGTGTGCGTGCTTCGCATTTTATACTGCACCATTGCACGCAGATATTTACGTCACGCAAAGCTTGCGCGCAATTTTGCCGGCGTTCATCATCGCGTTGTCTTTTTTTTTTTTTTTAATCCTTTATTTAAGCCGACGATAATACATCGAAAACGACGAAGAGACACGGGAATCGTACAGAGGCTTTGCAAAGACTTGGATGAAGAAGCAGGCAAAATATATATCAGCTAATCCGAGAAGTTGCCGTACGCAACAGTCAGACAGAACGTAAAGATTCTTTTATAGACCATGCAAGTCAAATTTCTAAAATAAACAGTGGGTACTTGAATATCTCAAAGGATAAATTTTAATCCCATCTTTTTACTCTATCGATTCGTGATTTATATATATATATATGACGACTTGCACAAATCCGTTAAATTATATTATAGAATAACACACGTGGAAAAGTGATTTCCATATAAATTATTATTGACTTTTTTCTTACTGAAATTTTTTTCTACTTTATAGATAAAAAGATAAATAAACAAAATACACTTAAACACACTTATTGCCAGTCACGCGGGCTCATGAGAAGTGCAGTGCGCGGGGCGAGGCTTGTCACGCGGCGCCGCGTGATATGTAACACATATATACATGTGTGCTATGTAATTCTAAACAGTATACTTTACGTAAATAAACTCAAATAAGATACAATATAATACGATAGATAATATTGTGAAAAAACCATGCGGTTCTGCGGGTCATATTGCTCGCATTTAATATGTAATGAACGTGTTAATGCTTAACTAAATATCATAATTTTTGAAATTTTGTTTTATATTTTTTTATACATACAAAAGTATAATATTTACCTCAGCTTAAGTTCGTTTTAATTGCAAATTGTAGATACATTTTATCTTGATGCGTGAGCAATACTAATTTATTATCAAAGAAATTTACATGTAGCAAAAGAATTTCAATGCCTTTCGAACCATTCCTCAAATATCGGTCAATATATTTCCTCGAACTCTTCTCTTTTACAGTGTTTATGTAAAGTCTCGGTTTCTCAAACTCATTTTTTTCGCTCTGTTTTGTTTGTTTGTTTGTAACTCATTGGCGCTTGCGACCTAATCAAAAAAAATTCTTCGGCTACCTTCGATCACGCAGAAGTTCCCACTGCTTTGTCGCAATGATAAGATACTTTGACAGTGAATAACACTTTAATAATTGTTCATCTGTCCTCTGTATCTGGAGTCGTGACAACGTATGTAAAATGCATAGGAGCATTGTCACAAAAAAGTTTCCGCGTGTATATGTACGTCGATATTCTGTCCGATTCGTTTTACCGTTAATTAGCGACTTTAACGAACGAAGACAAGGAAGTAAAGAGTCACGTTAACATCACGTTAAACTGATCGATTTCAGAGATTTTCGCAGAGTTTCTTTAATAAAAATTCAGTAAAACTTTCGGTAATTCTGCAGTTCAGTGCCTTTTCTCAATTTTGGCTTTTTTAATTTGGGTTTTTAAAAAATGCTTTATTTCGTCAGTACAGTGAGGAATCAATCGGGGGTGCTCGAAAAAATATTTCCGCTTTTTTTAAAAAAAAAAAAAAGTAAACTTCAAAAATTCTTCATAATTATATTCACAGGGTCTCCCGATCTCGATGACTTTTTAATATGTTATAGGAAACAAGATTTTGAACAACTTTTTTTCACATATAACCGCCGTTTGGGCTTAGTTTCCGAAATATCCGCCAAAAACTGTTGCTACTTTTGCACCGAATCCTACCTATACGTGTTCCGCAGCGATCATTTTTTGGACATCGTGTACATTTCACAAGTAAATATTTTGTATCACATACACAGTTTGTCCGGAAAGTTCCCGGACTACGTGAATTAAAAATCGAAAATGAAAGATATGGTTTATTAAACAAGTTTACACTTCAAGGTAGTCT